TTAGGAGTGAAGTGAATGGGATTCAAATAACACACATACTCAGCTATGATTTGCTCTTGACAATCAGCCCCTGACATAGAGCTTAAGTTTCCAAAATGATAGCTTCCATCAAATGATATTTCTAGAAGAACCAGTATCTCTTTCAGAGTGTACCACATAAGAAACCTCCCTTAAGGAGACAATTTAGCTGGATTTTTTAATGGAAAGTTATCACTATCTTGCAAGCAACTTTGCATATTTTTGTAGCCAGTACAGACAGCCAGGAACCAGCATCAAAATGAGAACTTCATCAAGATTCTGCCAAGTAGTTCTTTCAAGAGAATGACTCTGCTCCATTGATTTCAGTTAATCACAGCAGGAGGCAAGGCCTCAGGAGAAGGGGCCGTCCATCCAATGATCTCCAATTAATGAATGAAATGAGAAAACAGAGAATTTTGTAGGCAACAAAAGTGGGGGCAGGGTGTAAATTTAAAGGGTTTTTGAGTTAGTGAGATTTTGCTGGAATTTAGTTATTTTTTCCATTTGTAACCAAAATGATGGGAAGAGAGCTTTTGAGGGGAGGTGGGATGGGGTGGATGATGCAAACCATTCTGCAGGCACGTTGTGTTCTGTAAGGTAGATTGTATTTACATCTTGGACTATGTGATACTTTGGATAATGATAATAATAATAGCAGCAGCACATATGAGGGAAATTTAAATTATAAAGCAGTTTTGAGGTAAGGGTTTAAGAAGACATTCATTATTAGTCATGTTATTAACTTCCAACCAGGGAAGTTGGTTAGTCTAGGCAGCCCCCCTCAGGGGAAGGAGCTGAAGAGGAAGGCAGAAGGGAGCAGCTGGCCCTTGGCCACCCAACTCCGGCCGTGGCCCTCACATGACAGGGCAGAGGGCAGAGCCAGGATGAGGGGCTGAGGCACAGCTATGTACCTCTAGGGTAGGCAGCTGGGTTATGTGTACCTCTGGGGTAGGCAGCCCTGCTGTCTCTGTTCTCACACCATGCACACTTCCCCTCACCAGCCCTTTAGCATGCAGAGCAGTCTTAAAAATATAAGTCAGATCATTTCACTCTTTTGTTTAAAACCTTCCCAATGCTCATGGACACTTGAAAGCTTTGAATTACCCTTGTTTCTTCAGTTTATGCCTTACCTCCTCCCTAGAAGGGGGTCTGGAGAGGGGAATAGATATAGTCAGTATTCCCCCAGGCACTGAAAATAAGACAGAAGAAAACTGTGACATCCTGACTTCTCTCTACATTCAATCTGGCTGCCTCCATAGACAGAGAATGCACTAGAGGCCTGGGTTATATGGAACCACTGCTTACTCGGAAATGGAACGTCTGAGGTCATTTCGTTCAACTCCCCCATTTTACAGATAAGGAAACTGAGGCACAGAGGAGTCGAGTGACATCCCAATTGAGTACCAGAGCTGGACCGTAACTCGTGTTTCCTGACTCCTGGCCCAGTGACTTTGATGCCCTTGACTGATGGACAACTCTGCAGATGGAAGGGCATTTAAGTCTGGCAGGGAAGAATGGCAGAGCCAGGCAGATGGGAGGCTAGTGAGGGGACAGCTGGTAGGAAATGGAAAGGCTGTAATGAGTCAAAATATCCGTTCTTGCTGATCACATCCCCAGACCAAACATGACGCCCAAATGCTCGTTGACAGAGTCGTAAACAGCAACAGGGAAGAACCATGTGGATGGATTGACGAAAGGCCATGACATGTCATCTGTGCCAATGGCTAAGCACCCCTATTTATTCAGACTCTTAATCCAACTCTTTAACCTTGCTCTTTCCTTTTAAGTCATTTGAGACCTTCTCTGTCATTCCTCGCTTTTCATTTCGTTTGTGGCTGCAGTTTAGAGTCAATCTGCTCATTGGTCTCAGATTTTTGGCTGATGGAAAATAAAGATGATGATGATGATGAACTTGGGCAATGTGACTTGCCTGCAGTGTTTTGCTGTTCCAACAAGGGGCTGTAGAGAAGAAGAATGAGCAAATTCATGAGTCAACATTATATTTATCCCTCTATTGTGAGGAATACTGCCTCTGCTTCTTTCGTGAAGCATAATCGTTTGTTAGTTTTAGTAAGACGTTTCTCTGCCCACTGATAAGGAAACAAAAAGGCATTTACTGTGCTGGTCTCTAGAATGTGAAATGTAAGCTGTGGTCTTTTTTTGTTTGTTTGTTTTTAGCTTTCATTTATGATCACAGGCTTAAGGGTAGACGGGTGCCTTGGAGGACCGCCAGCCTCACCACCCCCTTCTGTGCAGGAAGCCCCTTCCCGACATCCCTGCCAGTGGTTCAGATCCCTTCCCCCGGCATCCCCACAGCGAGTTGCCTCTACCTCTGTCAAAACACTTACTTCATTTTGCTTTAAATTACAGTTATTTGAGGACTTTTCTTAAATCTCTGTGAGACCCTGAGGGCAGGAATTCTGTCTCGTTCCTCTTTGATCTCCCACAGCCCCCAACACAGAGCTTGGCCCACTCTCCATAAATATTTGAATGAGTGACAAGGTGTTAACAACCTCCAGAGGCAGCCACAGTCAGACATCTCTAATAGCTGGAAAGTTCTTCCTGAAAGTGAGCAGAAATATGCTTCCCTGTGTTCCCTGTGGGGAGACAATGTAAAGGTCGTGATGACAAAGGGCTGGGCATCCATAAGATGTCCATGAGGGACAGGCTAGTGCCCTGCTCTTGTTGCTTTTCTTGCTTCCCATCTGGCCAATGCATACAAGGTCTTTCCCAGGACAGGAAAACCCAACAACCCTAGATATATCTGGACAAATGTGTATGGGAGGGGAGGGTTTCCAGGATTTGAATCCAATTTGGAAGAGCAGCTATATTAGACGCTGTCAACATCCCACCTGTATCCCCTCAGCTCACCCTGAGGATCATCTGCAGATGGTTCCCATATACAATGACAGCTTCCTGCGTTTCTCTGTCCATGGTCACTCTCTGACCTGGGGAGTGTGCTTGGCCTGTGTGTAGGTCAGGCTGGAAATGCCCAGGAGTTACTCCAGGAGGGACCTTCAACATGAGCCGTGAGGCTTGGTGAGTACCCTAGATTCCTCACCTCCCAGAGGGATAGCTCAGTGATGTGTTCTACACGGTCTCTCAAAAGGTCTCGAACGGATGGCCCCCCACTGCTCATGCAGTAACCCACCAGTGAACACATCTTTTCTTCATTTTCCTCCCTTTCCTCTTTGACTTCCTCACTCTCTCACCCTGCTTCCTGGGATCACACCCAAGTAAACGATTTGCCCCAAATCGTTGTCTCAGGGTCTGCTTTAGGGGGAACCCAAACAATGACACAAAGCTGGAAATTTGGGAGAATCTAAATGTTATTCCCTTAGAAGACAGAACTATTAAAATCAGTACATGCCGTTTTTTTTCCTCTTCTATGCCTTTATTTCTAAGTGCAGAGTTGTTTTTTCTGTCTGTTCTATAAATAGAGTTTAATTTTAAGTAGAATTTATGTCATAACTCAGAAAACAGGGCTGATAATGATTCCTAAATCTTTGCATGATAGTTATTTCAAATAATAAGAGTCAGTAATATTCTAGCTCTATTAAAGAAATGTATTGTGTTGGAAAGATCTCACGCCAGACTAAAGAAAGAGATTACGCGTGGGGGCGTTAGACATCAGGATGGATTTGTGTTCAAGCACTTCACTTAACCTTTTAAACTTCCACAGAGACCTTTTACGTGAAGAGAGACCTTATCAACCTGGCTCAGGCTTGAGATGGAGTGCTTGAGGGCCTGGACAGCGAAGATGAATGGGGACCATGAGGGAAGAGGGAAAGAAAAATAAAGACCCTTCATTAAACTTACCCAATATTAATGAACTACTCCTGAGCTAATAGAACCAAGAGAAAATGCTGTCACTGAAGAATATTTATTATCATTTAGGAAGATTTGTAACAAAGAACGAAGGTGTGCAAGCCACCTGCCGCCCTAGTCCTTCTTCGGGCAGACGTTGTGTGATTCAGAACAGTTCCCTGTGGGTGCCACAATATTACTTGATTGTTTTGACACCTCAGACAATTAGTAGGAGGTAGCAGTTAAAAATAATCATGCTCACTGCTGTCTTATGTTTGTGGGGTTTTTCTTTTGTCTTGTTCCTTCCTGGAGGGTTTTCTGCTGGCCTTGTAGGAAACAACACACATGTCATGAATTTTTAATTGGCAAAGATGGGAATGAATCTAAACAAAACACAAGAGGAAAGGAGTCGGCAGGGCCAGGAGAGCCCCACCGATGCCTTTTAGGGGTACCCACAGCTGCCTTTTTGGGGTCAGGTGGAGAAATTTTCCTAAGTCAGGTAGGGATGAGAAAGGGCTCCACAGGTCTTATTTTTAGCATGGAAAAATGTGGCTTCAAATGCTCTCTTTATTTAACCCTGACCAATGACCAGTGCCCCAGCTCTTTTGGTGGGGGGTGGGGCGGGGACAGCAAAGTCTTCACTTGGTGATAGGAAAATGTGTAGTTATTGTGTGACATGTGTCCTTTGCCCTCTTTGATGAGCACCACTGCCCTGTTGTAGGTGGCAGTAATTCCCTGGGTACAGCTCTGTCCTGAGCAAGAGAGTGCCTTTGCCTCCTCCAGCTTTTGTCCTAGTCTGAGCCATTGCTTCCAGAGAGTAACTCTTGGAAGTACCATGCTGTCACCTTGGCATGAGCTCTTAAGATGATTGTGAGGATTACTAAGGGAGTCCACGTAAAGTGACTGCATTCATGTGCATTAATAGCTGGCACAAAAACTATGCTGGTCCCCAGAATGAAAGGTCTCAGTTACTGTACCTGCTATCTGTTGAAATTTTATTTTGGAGACAAGGACTTCCCTTGGGCCAAAAATGATACCCTAGTGTAGCCTATACCAGCCTCTCTCATACTTTTTGTTTTGGGTAGCCTCCTTCCCCAAATACTCACCCAACCCAGAAGGGCTCAGTGGCCTTTTCAGCCTGCCCCACTAAGCACTCCCTCTCCTTTGCTTCCCAGAATGCCTATGTCAACATCAACCGCATCATGTCTGTGGCTTCCCGCCTCTCTGAGGCTGGCCATTATGCCTCGCAGCAAATCAAGCAGATTTCCACACAGCTGGACCAGGAGTGGAAGAGCTTCGCAGCTGCCCTGGACGAACGCAGCACCATCCTCGCCATGTCTGCGGTGTTCCACCAGAAGGCTGAGCAGGTGACGCCAAGGGAGCTGCTGTGGCTGCTGTTGGTGGGCAGAGTGGATGGGCAGGGGACGGGCAGGATGGGAGTGCGTATACTTTCTGTAGAGAGCCTCTCCTCTTTTTGAAACACTGAAGACCCTGCTGAGTAGTTGCAGCAGTAACCCATGTTCTACCACTTTCCTGGCCCCTGTGTACACAAAGAAACACTGGTAACTCTTGGTGTCTTTGTTTAACATCCAAACAAGAAGGAACCCAGAGCCTATTTACATTCTGCTTGGTAGTTTATTGTTGTGTGTGCGTTTGTGTATTGACTGTCTGCTTAGTTTGCATTCCCTGAGCGTAGACCAAAGGGGGGAAACTAAACTGATCATTGAGTGCTGAGAGCAGGGGGAAACTAATTTTACACGAAGCATTTGCTATGGATAATAATAATGTAATAATAATACAATGGATAGAAATAATAATAATTTGTTGCCATTTGTTTACTGGCATTGGCCAGTGACGTTACTAACTCATTTTACAGAGAGGAGTGTTGAAGCTCAGAGAGATTAAGTGACTGCCTAAGATCCAGTGGTTGGAGCTGCTCTAACCAGATCATGAAGAGCTGATTGTTAAACATTCAGTCATTTTGTGAGCTGGTTGTTAAACATAGCCATTACTTAAAACTAAATTATATAAATTTGCATTAAATATGTTATATTAAAAACAAAGGTAATAAATACTCAAAACTCATCATTCCCAATTATTTTACTACATTTTATTGTTATCTATGTTCTTGAGGTTATTTATATCTGTTTATCTCTATGGTGCAGATACTATACAGTGTGTGCTACTGATCGTCTCTTCCCAGCGCCACATTCTGTGATGTCACATGGGTAGCTTGAAATAGACCAAGGTAGACAGTTTACACCATGGAAATCAGCAAATGCTACAAACCAGGGCCTGATTTATTGTTTCTTTGATTGTCTTAGAGTCTTAAGAAAATGAGGGAGAAAATATTATAAATGCAGACTAAACTTAAAAATATGTCCTGTCTGTAGCTGTTACATTGTGAATAGCACACAAAATTGAGGAAATATTCTTCTGATATTCAGAAACTATTATTCCATTCAGCAAAGAAGTCACTCACGTCACTGATGGACGAGTAATGTTCTGACATAGGTCTTCAGGTATTTTTCGCTTTTGTGTTGGAACTATGTAAGTTTGTCATTTGCAGACAAAAGCATCCTGTGAGAATCAACTGCCCATATGGAATTTATAATAAGGAGCATTGTATATGTTATTATTCTTTGTAAATTATGTGCTACACATCCTTTATATCAGTAAAGTTTATGATATACTTATGTCTCTGTACATGTATATACATGTATATACATACATACACGTACACGTGCACATATATACATATATAGGTTAGTTATTAAATATAACTAACCTATATATATAACTAACACGCCACTGTGAAAATCACACAATTACTCTATGGGCAGCTTGGATTTCCATTCAGGTATGTCTAACATTAAAGCCTGTGGTCTTAACGTCTAAATTTCTTCTTTTGTATGACATTTGGGTAGCTTATAGATAGTGGAGAGTCAGACACAAGGTCACACCTTAAATCTCTCCATCTGTTACCTACCTAACATGGAAGGCAGTGTGGGATAATTGAAAGAGTCTAGGCTTTGAGGGCATACACCTGTAGGTTCTAATCATTAGCTCTTAGGCAAGTCACCTCGCCATTCTGAAATTGTTTCCTCATCTCTAATGTGGGGATAGTCATAAATCTCACAGCACTGTTATAAGGATTAAAGATGGAGCATGTAAGTTTCCTAGCGTGCTTTTTAAATGGTAGACATTACTACTGTGGGTATTTGTTCAACATGCTATCCTGGCATCTGTATTTCCTCGACCCGTGTCTGTTTCCGCCTGAGACCTTCCCAAAGACTGAAATACTGTGTCATAAGTCAAGAGAAGCCCTACATATTGAGAGGATTCTAGGCGCCTCTTTTTTTTTTAAGGATGATCTTGGCAGTGATTGATGGTGACGGGTTCATTCTTAGGACTGTGAGAATATTCATGTCTAATCTCTTGTTCTTTCTTCAACCCAATCCCTTGCACACTTCATTCAAGGTTCATCAAGATTGTCAAGAGAGACTCAATGGTTCCTTCTCTATCTCTTTCTCTTTCTCTCCTTGAGTTGACCATTTTGTGGGATGTACTATAGGACTCCTGTTAGAGTATTACAGAGAAGTCCCAAGGACCTTGAAGAGATGCTCCCCTCATGATTGACACATGAATGTCCAGTTGCTTTCAGGTTCCTCTGTAAAATGGTTATTGGTGGAGCAAAGAAGCTTCTGAGATGTTAGTAAATACATGCAATCTGATACTGGATGGCACCCAGCGCTCTTCCAGAATTGTTAAGAGATGGCCTAATGTGATAAAATCATATAGAGTGAAAAATCAACCACAACAGCCAACAGGCCAGGGACTGAAAGCTGACAATGACACCAAGACTAAAACTCCAGCAGTTGCAGAAGCTGGAGGAGTCAAATTTTATTGATGTTTCCTGACTTGGATTAATTTGAATCAGAAGCAATTTTATTTGTATCTATTTTTTAATGCAATTTCCTCAGGTATTACCAGTCCTTCAAGAAAACTCATAAACCATGCTTCTTTATAGCTGGGGAAGAAAACATACCAAACAATGGATTCAAGGCTATTTTTTTCAATGCATTTATTTAGGCAGCTCTTTATTGTCCTCATATGGGCTGTTCTAGGCAATGAGATAAAAAGGTATTTAGGCAATTAATTTAAATGGAGCTGTGCACCCAGGCAAGAGAAGTCACAGACAGAACCACTCCAGACTGTTGAGTGAAGAATTATTTGCATTTTAGAGGTATATTTTTCCACCCAATAAATCTGAGTGATTTCAGTTAGCTCACCCTTTGAGCATGAAGACCCACAGTCTTCCACAGTTATTAATTTTAATTTTTAAATAATTTAATATCTGTCAAGATCTATATCTATATATCACATCCCAGGAGCACTGCCACTGTAGGCACAGTACAGCCTGTCCCCCTCAGCTGCCCCTCCCCTCACCCACCGCTAAGGCTACTCACCCAACAGTGGGGTTCTTGTTGAGTGTTAATCCCCATCCCCTGTGGGAATGGTCTCTGCAAGTTCCCTGGGATGCCTGATGGTCCTGGATGAGGCATTCTTTGCTCATCTTCACAACTCACTGTACACACTATAAAGTATACGTGTGGAAACATCCCATTACATAACATGCAGCCCTTCACATGTGCCCGTGAGTGTGCACGGGACAAGAAGCTTAAATGTATACATGTAGTGAGCTGTTTCCACACCTGTATTTTATAGTGAATGTGTAGATATAACCTGTTGAACATGCAGATGGCTCCCATCCCCACCAGTTTCATAACAGTCATCTTTGTTTCTGGAAACCACGCTTTCTAAACATGTACTGGGTCTGACTACTTACATGGAGTTAGTATTTTCAGAGTTAAAGAGAGAAGTCCACCCTCTGCAGTGGTCTCTGAAGGCTTCCCGAGGTCCTGATGCTTCTTCCCAAGGTATCTGACCATCTCTACATAACCTGCCGATTGCCCACCCCCAATGCTCCCATACTGACCCGGCTGGTATCTCCTTCCAGTTCCTGTCAGGAGTGGACGCCTGGTGCAAGATGTGCAGCGAAGGTGGCCTGCCATCTGAAATGCAGGACCTGGAGCTGGCGATCCATCACCACCAGTCCTTGTATGAGCAGGTGACCCAGGCCTACACGGAGGTGAGAACAGAGCAGGACACCCAAGAGTCCTGGGTGTGTGTGCATATGGATGGGTGGCAAGAGTATTGGCCTGTACACTGTGAAGTAGCCTGGGTGGGACTAAAAATAAGAGAGGCCATTTTTCTCCCTTTGGAGACATCTTTGAGATCCTTGACCTGTGAATGATAGTGTCTCCTGCCAGGCAGCAGAAAAAATGTGGCCAGCAGCAGGCGCTAGCTTAGTGCGCGCACACACACACACACACACACACACACACACCCCTACACCTACCTCACCCTATATGTGAAGATCGGACTCTCTTCTCTGGGGGAGGAATATAAGAAAGCAGCACAGTGCTCCTCTTGAGTTTGCTTTCTGGCTGGTGCATGGGCATGTTCACACTAGCCCGACTGCCCCTTTTATGAAGGAGCTCATCAAAAACTACTAATTTTCTCACTAGAAGGTCCAGAGGAATATACACCATGGGGTGGAGATAGTGTTTGCAGGAGTGAGAAGCTGCCATGGAAATGAAGGGCAAACTAAAAGACTCTTCCACTGAAAAATCAAAGGCCGAGGGCATGGTACAAAGTTAAGAAGGGGAAGAAACTTCTTGACATTCCTTCAAGCTGAAAGGAAAGGGCCTATAGGTGCATCTGTGTGGACACACACAAGTAAGTAGTTCACTAACTGGCAAGAATTCTGAGGGAGGAGTCTGAGGGATGTAAAGAGACAGATGGGCTGATTAAGGAAGCTGGACGAGGAGGGGAGAGTGAATTCACATCCGGCTCATGGTTTCCTCTGGGGCCAATTAGAACAGTGTTTCTCAAAGTGGGTTCCTGGACCACCTGCTGCAGACTCACCTGAGGTGCTTTTTAGAGGCGCAGATTCCTGGGTTCCACACCAGACTGAATCAGAGTGTCAAGAAGTGGGACCTGGAATCTACATTTTAATAAATATTACCCCAGGTGAGTTTGGTGCATGTTGAAATCAAAGAACCAATGGGTGAGAGTAAGGGTTTTTGCCACAGTCAAATCTGAGTTTGAATCCTGGCTCCCCTACTTACTAGCTATGTGACTTCAGGCAAGTTACTTAACCACTCTAAGCCTCAGTTTTTTCTTCTGAGAAATGAAGGTGATAACACCTGCCTGCAGTTTTAAGGGTTATAAAGATAATACCTGGGGCCGGCTCCGTGCCTTAGCGGTTGGGTGCACGTGCTCCGCTACTGGCAGCCCAGGTTCAGATCCCGGGCACGCACCAACGCACTGCTTGTCCGGCCATGCTGAGGCCGCGTCCCACATACAGCAACTAGAAGGATGTGCAACTATGACATACAACTATCTACTGGGGCTTTGGGGGAAAAAAGGGGGGAAAAAAAAGGAGGAGGATTGGCAATAGATGTTAGCTCAGGGCTGGTCTTCCTCAGTAAAAAGAGGAGGATTGGCATGAATGTTAGCTCAGGGCTGATCTTCCTCACACACAAAAAAAAAAGAAAAAAAAAAAAAGATAAAACCTGTAAAGCACTTGGCCCAGTGCCTGACAGTAATCATTGCTGAAAAATGGTAACAGGTTTGCGATTATAGGAGGCAGAGAGGAGGGCTTGTGAACCAAATCTGAGCTCATCAGATCCAAATGGCCCAAGGCTTTCTTTTATAACAGAATTGTGCTCTGTCCATGGGTCAAGAATCTCTAAATTTACTCCTTGTAAAATACTACAGTAGAAAGTACAAATGAGATTGATATTATACTTACACATTTCACACTTGTGGGTGTGTGTGTAATTATATAGAGAGACACAGTATTCTCCCAATTTATTCTCAGGCCCTAGTACTGTGGGATGTAAACATACCCTCCAAGCCCACTTCCTAGGTCAGTGGGTTGCCCCTGCCTCCTACAGATGTGGACTGAGGCAGAGGACTGGAACTCATGTTGGCTTGGACTTCAGGACCTGGCCCTCCATCTGTAACCACCCCACCCTGGACATAGCACAGGCCAAAAGACAGCATTTACTCAGAATTCCCTGAAGAGAGCTCTCCTGGGTTTGACCATAGGGTATTTGTCTTATTCACGTCTCTGGAGGCCTTTACCTCTGTATTATTTATAATGTACTTCCTCTCCCCCTCCCCTGGCAATTCATTGCGGGAGGCAGGCATGGTGGGATGGGGTAGGTAGTGGTGGTCACCTAAATTGGCCATATTCCTCCAGCCAGCATTCCTCTCCTGTCTCAGCTGCACTCTCCACTGGCACTCCTCTTAATAACGCCCCAGCCCCACATGCATTTCTGTTGCCCCTTGAGCAAGGGGAGTAACAGCCGCCCCTGTGTTTCTGAACCCGCAGGCAAGCTATTATCAGGACGTGAAGGTGGGGTGAGGGGAGGCTGTGAGCCCAGCAAACAACTCTCCATTCATTGTCATCAGGCTGGAGGTGGGAGCACACCTCCTTCCCCATCTTGCTGGAAGGAAAAGACCATTTCCATTCCAAACCAACTTTGATTTCATTGTTAACCAAATTAATTTAGGATCTTAAATTTCCTGTCAATTCCCTAGTCACCACTGTTTTAAATTGGAAAGACACACGCTCTACTAGGTACTCTGCCAAGCACTGGCGCGCCACAGGTGTAGATAAGATGATGCCGCTTTCCAGAAATATTGCTGCCTGTAATTGCACCAGGATTTCAATGAGGAAGGACAGAGAATGTCCCCCTACTGGTCTCAGCACTGAGGGTGAGTGTTGGGGAAGCCAGGAGCATGGTTGTTGTGTCCACAATCTAAGGGTCCCTCCCTTACTCTGCATGTTCTGGAAAGATGGGGACGTTACCACTTTCAGGAGAAAAAAAGGGGATTGTATAGAAGAAGAGCAAAAGAAGGATAAATATAGAAGAAAGAAAATGACAAGGAAATAAGAAGACAGGAGAGAGTAATAATGATGATAACAAAGATAGAATTGGGGGCCAATGCTACGTGCCGGGCCCTATTCTAAGGGGTCTGTGTGTAACTCATTTAATCCTTTCCACAACTCTATGAGGGATATACCATTACTATCCCTATTTTACAGACGAGAAAACTGAGGCCCAAAGAGGTTAAGTAACTTGCCTCTGGTCACACATCTAGAAGTTTAGAGCCAGGTAGAGAAATGTGAAGAAGAAAGAGGGAGAGAGGCTTATAGTGCTGACATATGTTCAGCTTCATTTCTGAAATGAAAAGAAGTTCTGCCGCCTGACCTAGTCAGTGAGTAAGTACCATGTGCCAGACACTGTTCCAGACAGTGGGGAGAGATGAACAGGGCAGAATCCCTGCCTTCATGAAGCTGAAATTCAAGAGGGAGCGAGACATTGATTCAGGATATGATTCAAATAATATGAGATTCGGGAGTCGCACAGACAGCTGGCTGCTGCCCCAGCAACTCCTCTCCCCCAGGATTCCGGGATGCGCTGCCCTCCCCTGGGCTCCAGGCTGGGCACCGTGGCAGCTCTGGCTGGCGCATTCTTGGTTGTCATGGGTGTGGGTAGGACTGAGATTCTCAGCCTCTAATCAGGGACCCCTGGACAGACCCTCCTTGCCTCTCCGTGCCCTGCCTGCTGCTCTGCTCCCTTGACTTGATCTTCCTTTCTTCTTGCAGGTCAGTCAGGATGGCAAAGCACTGCTGGATGTGCTGCAGCGTCCCCTGAGTCCTGGGAACTCCGAGTCGCTCACAGCCACAGCCAACTACTCCAAGGCAGTGCACCAGGTGCTGGATGTGGTGCACGAGGTGCTGCACCACCAGCGGCGGCTCGAGAGCATCTGGCAGCACCGCAAGGTGCGGCTCCACCAGCGGCTGCAGCTTTGCGTCTTCCAGCAGGACGTCCAGCAGGTAACAAGCTGCTGCCCCACGCCTGGCATCCACCCCAGACAGGCTGACGGCTCAGAGTCCCTGACCTGGGTCATCAGGCCTGGGAACAGCTGATTTATGCAGGGAAGAGGGCAATTCAGCCCCCAGCTGCCCCCTCCTCAACACTTGTTAATTGCAGTCATGTGACATAGCTTTCTTTGAGGCAGAGCTTGGCCTCACCCAGGCATGAGCTCTCTGGACAACTTCAGGGTCTGGGGGGTTATCGGAGCACTGTCGGGGTTGGACCTCACGTAAAATGAGCTCACTTCCCCATCAGGGATGCAAGTGGCCTGCTAGAGATGGGCTGTGGTGGGGTACAGGCCTTTACGGGATTCTTTGGCAAGGTTGTACTTGGGAAACCAGATTTACAACATGGGCTGTTGATGACTGTATGTTCCATGATTAGAGGTTATTTCTGGCTTAATCTGTCTTTTTGCATTATTATACCAGTCATAGCTTTTTCCTTTACCACAAATAATAAAGAAATGGTTATGTTTCTGACTATAAAAGGACAGCCTTGCCACAAATGCCTTTTTGGATGAAATAACCCATCATACTTTCTCTGTCTCTGAGAGGACCCTTGGGAGCTTTGCTCTGAGGACTGATATACTGGGGGAGGGGGAGCTGGTTGGGAGCTGGAGACTGAAGTTGAGGCTTAGCGTCATCTCCCTGCTGGTTCACTGTGAGAGGCAGGGATGAGGGCGCTTATCTTATCAGACTTTTCTGTGGCCACCAGAAATATGTATCTGTATAATTTCAAGACTATACATATAAAAATGTTTCACTGTCCTTCCATACCTCCTGTGGCATTGACCAGGCGTAATCCAAAAGTGTATCGAAATATATGTGGAAATTTGGGAGCCCATTGGACATGTCTTTAGAGTATTGGTTCCCTTCACAGCTGTTGTTGGGCGGGGCCCTCGTGCTGGGTGCCCTGAGACAGAAGCAGGATGGAGGGAGAGAGGGGCATCCTGTCACTGCCTGTGACACCCTCTGGGTCCCGGGATGCCATGCAGTCAGTCCCAGGAGTAGACAGGCCTTCATTAGTGTCCCCCATTCTTGGGCTGTCCTAACTCCCCTGCATTGCCCCTCCCCTTCCCCTACCCCCCACTGGGGCAGTGATTGAGTCATCAGAGGCAACACCTTAGCCTTAGGAGAAACAGGCACTGCTTATGTGCTGGCCCCAGCTCTGAAACCCTTGTGGGGCCTGCTGGGAATAGAGAAGCAAATGAATCAATTGTCTACCCCTGCCATCTGGAACTGTCCAGATACATATATCATCCCTGAGCACAGGAGAGCACGGAGTCCATCTGTGATTGAGACAGAGTGAGGTGCCAGCCTCTGGAGGCACACAGAGGAGGCGTTACTATTTCAGTGAACTCTGAGTGACTCTCAGAGATTATCTGGCTACGGATTGCACAGCTTCCTTGGTGTGCTCTTAGCCATCTTCTGTTTTGATGGCTTTTATACTATGATGGGTGCTGGAGAGGGGCAGAGGGGCTGCGAGGAGGGTGGGCAAAAGATCTCCCTGGCAGGAGTGCGACATCCAGACTTGGACTATCTGGGAATGGCTGTTACCAGACTTTTCTGTGGCCACCGTGACATCTACGCTAAAGCTAGGAGAAAGTATAATAAAACTACACTGGTGGCTATTCTACATCATGCTCTTAAAAATGAGAGCATTTCTGGAATTAAGACCCTATTAATTCATCTCTACTGTATGAATCACATTATTGGCACTGAAGGAAAATAAGCAGGGGCCGGCCTAGTGGTGTAGTGGTTAACTGCACATGTTTCGCTGTGGTGGCCCAGGGTTTGCAGGTTCGGATCCCGGGCGCGCACCGACGCACCGCATGTCAAGCCATGCTGTGGCGGCATCCCATATAAGGTAGAGGGTGATGGGCACGGATGTTAGCCCAGAGCCAATCTTCCTCAGCAAAAAGAGGAGGATTGGCAATGGATGTTAGCTCAGGGCTAATCTTCCTCAAAAAAAAAAAGAAAGAAAGAAAGAAAAGAAAAACAAGCAGATTGTGAGGTGGATGTGATGGGGTTTGAAATTTTCAAACTGAATTTCCCAGGATGGTTAATTCCGTTGTACTTTTCAGGACATGTGAATATGACTTCTGGGAACACGACTTCATTCACCCCTTGTCCCACTCACTCTCTCTCTCACCGTGTATCTGACTCTGGGACAGGTGCTCAAAGAGGAATGTGAAAAATAAGGGCTACCAAGCCTGGTGATAGGTCTCAAATGCCTCCCTGACACCCAAACCACCATTAGCACCTGACAGGTGTCTGAGCTGGTGCTTCAGAAGGGAGCTGGACATAATGCACTCAATGGTCAGAGGGATGGACTTGGACTTTGGTCTCCTGACTCCCAGAAATGTTATGTGTTTGTTGTTTTTGATTTTGTTTTTCATCTCTTCTATTCCAGTATCTTCTTGAGAGTAGAAACCATGGCTTCTTCCTCTCTGTGCCCCTTATAGCTCTTAGCTGTGTCTGGCACGAAGCTGGGGTTCTCTTTATATTTGCTGACTTGAGCTGAAATTATCATTGGAAAACCCCCAGTTTCTGCTTCTGTTGAGTAAACACCATTTAACCCTCCATCTCAATCCATCCAGTAGTTGCCAGTGAGTAGCTGGAGTCTGCCTACAGAAATTGTGATGTGAAAGTCTTGAGGGTCCCAGATATTTACAGCCCAGGCAGAGGACACAGGGACATACCCTCAGTGCTCACCAAGTATCCCAGTGCTTGTCAGTTATTCAGCAAGCATGGGCCTCTGCAGTGGGCCCAGCACTGTAAACATTCTGGTAAGATGCCTGGTTAGTTAGAATGGCACAGACATACACATTTGAAAATATAAAGGGCAGTTCTACCACCGCATGCCAGTCAGCGTGCCAGGCAACAGAGTATTGATGGAGCAGTTATAGGCAGAAGCGTGAGAAGTCAGAGTTGGTGTCTTGAAGAGGAGAGAATGGATTGAACCATATAGTCTGGATCCAAGACTCTTGAGCACATTCGGGGTCCAGAGATGTTTACTCAGCAGCCTCAGTGGGAAGCTTGTGAGCAAGCATCAGAGGCCGGGGCAATACAGAATGGCGGCTAGGAGCATGGCTCTGGAGTTGAGTGGCCTGGGTTTCAGTCCCGCTCTGACAAGTCTTGGCTGTGTGACCTTGGGCAAGTCGCCCCACCTCCAGTACCTCAGTTTCCTCACCTCTAAAATAGGAACTCTCATAGTATCTACCTCATCAGACTGAGTGAGATACAAGTACAGAGCTTAGCACCGTGCCTGCCTAGCACAGAGTACATCCTCCATCAGTGTTTCCTGGGTTTGGTCTCATCCTCTTTGAGTGGTACTCGGACGCCGCCTGGTGTTTGTGCTGTTGGGGCCCCCAGCATGATCCTCCTGTTTCTACAATAGCAACTGCTTTGTAGGTTGTGGATCTGCTAAGTCCCATTTCATTCAGTGATAAAATCTCAGAGCTGTCAAGGACCTGGAAGGGCATTCAGTCTAACTAAATATGGTCCAGGAAATTGAGGCCCAGAGATGTAAAGTAACTTGGCCCTAACCACACAGCTAATTAATGGTAGTGCTGGGACCAGAAGCTAAGTCTTCTAGCCCCCAGTCCAGGTGTCCTACAGAAAAGCCATGTGAGAGAGGAGGCAGGGAGACAGAGGAGAACAGGAAGAGAGACGGAGAGCACACATGCATACTTACATAAAGGGGGGAAAGACAGATGCATACACACACCCCAAAACAGGAAGGGAAAGACAGAGACAGACGAGAGAGAAAGGGAGAGAGAGAAAGGGAGAGAGATTTAGAGACAGAAAGAAGAGAATCAGACATACATGCGATGGGAGGAGAAAGAGAAAGTGGAAGGTGGGGGGAGAGGCAGAAGAGAAAGGGACAGGGACTCCTGCTAGTGGAGGGAGGGAGAGCGAGCCAGCCTCTTCTTGCCTGACTCCTTGCCCCGTCACCATTTCTGGGGGTAGTCTTTCCCCAAATAGGAGTACTTTGCCCTTTAAGGGCCCAAAGCAGAGTACAGCAGAGAGATGAAAAACAAAGGTAGACGCCAGTGAAAAAAAGGTTCCATTTGAATATCTGCAGCCAGAATTGGCTGACACATCATCTCTGTCGTAGCCCTCCCTTGGGTCCCAACAGCTTTCTCTTCTCTGCTGGGCTTGGAAGCAATGGAAATAAATCTCTAAGGCTCAAACTGGAACTTGGGTTCATTAAGCTGCAGAAAGGTATGGGTAGTATTGCTACAATACTGCCATAGTGTTGCTCCTGGAATAATTTTCAGTACTATTGTTTTTCCAGTTTAGAGTGCGACAGTACTGAACAACAGCCAAAAGAGTGCCCCATGAGGCATCAGCCGATCTCCACCTTCTGTCTCTTATTCTCCCCTAACTCTTGTGGCTTTCCTTGGATGTGAAGAACTGCTTCCAAGCCCAGATAGACCTCACTTTGTGGTGAGAAGAACAAGAGTAGCTAGATTCTTGATCTTTCTGGAAGATGCAAATTCCATTCCATTTTTTCATAGCCACAGCAAGTGTTTTGAGCACTCTCTGCAGGCCATCTTGTTCTGCCTCTCCTTCTTCTTCTTCTCCCTCTATTTTTTGCAAGAATAATTTGATGAAGTGTTTTGGAACACTACTATGTGCAAGGCCCTGTGCTAGGAGTAGAGGTCTCTGGCCTGAGAGAAGACATGTACACCTAAGGATATATGAATGGCCCACAGCTATCTGGGTTCAAGGCCAATAGGCTGGTGGAGTCAGAGCAGGGAAAGTTCCCTGTGGTTGGGGTGGGATTTGCACTGGCCCTTGGAGCTCAGGCAGGGGAGATGGGGATGGTGTTCCTGGGGAAGGCCAGGAAGCAGAAAGCTAAGGTATAGCCAGGGGGCAGGGAAGAGGAAGTCTACCTGGGTGCCTGTTCCAGGCAGCAAAAGGGGGAGGTAAGGCTGGGAGACTTAGGAGTGGTC